CTTTTGGCTGCTGCAGCCATCACCAGGGCAAAGCAGTGAGCCCAGAGGGTGTGAACATTCTGGATTTTATTAACTGTCAATCCCAAAAGATTTGTAATAATTACAGGGGGCAAATGGAACTTAACCACCAGAGCGTGTCTCTTAAAGACTCTTCCATTCCTTAAGAGTTGTTGCTTGTCCTGGCTTAAAGAGTGTTCATTAAAAACTTGGTGTTTAGGGGCACCTGGGTGGCTCAGTTGGTTGTGCCTTTGGTTCAGGTCATGATCCCAGGTCCTAGGATCAAGTCCTGCATCGGGCTCCTTGTTCAGCGTGGAGTCTTCTTCTCTCCCTGACCCTCTCCCCTCTGAAGCTCTCTCTCCCTCAAATAAATAAATAAAATCTAAAAAAAAACCAAAAAACAAACAAAAAAAAAACACAACAACACATAACTTGGTATTTAACTCTTGCAGAAGTAATTGGCTTAGAGAGGCACATGTTCAAACAAGAGAATGGACTTGTTTATTGTAGTAGGTTACAGCAGTCCTGTGCTTATAAACATATCTGCATTTCAGTTGAGAAAGATTTCATGGATTTAAGTGGCATATTAAAGAAAATATAACAAACAAACCTTTCCTTTTCACTTCATTTCCAAAAACAAGTGATGCGAGGTTATTCCTGGAAGTTAAACTCCACAAAATCTTCAAGTGTTACTGCTTCTTGACATGCTTCATTTACTCCCATTTTTTTGGCAGCTTCCGTAGATAAATAAGAGTTCTGATCTCCCTGAACACCCTCATTTACGTCAGTCTTGGGTTGGGTCTGGAGATCATTTCTGTTTTTCTTTAGTTACATGAAATTGAGAGATTCATGCAGCATGATTAGTGCTGAAGTCAAACTCTTTAAGCCTCTAACACATGACGAAGTGTCCAGTCTGGAGCAGTGGATATTTCCGCTTTTCATATCTGAGCAAATATGAACTCAACAAAAAATTCTTTTTTCCTCCCCAGGAAGCTAGCAGTAAAGCACGCATGTCCACTGATTTCATTTGGGTGGTACTCTAAACAGATTTTAAAAGAGCAATTAAAAAAAAAACACCTTTTTTTTTTTGTTTTGAAGTAATTTTAAATTGACAAAATTGGTAAAAATCGTTTTCTGTACTCTTTACTCAGTTTCTCCTTTTGCAAACCTTAGTAAGGTGACATTGCCAAAGCTATGAAACCAACATTGGCACATTCTTACTAATGAAAACTCCATACTCTCCTGGACTTCTCCCCTCATTGTCCTCTTTCTCATCCAGACCCAACCCAGGAGACCACACTAAAGTTCACTGTCACCTCTGATACTTCCCTCTGAACTGTGACTCTTTCTGAGTCTTTCCTTATTTTTCATGACCTTGACGTTTTTGAAGAGCTCTAGTCAGCCATTTGATATTCCTCAATTTGGGTTTGAAGGACTTTTTTTTCCTGGTGAGACTGGAGTTATGAACTTTTGGGGAAAATACCAAAGAGTTGAAGTGCCGCTTTCATCACATTGTATCAGGAGGCACATGATATCCACTTAACACTGCATTACACCATTAACCTTCATCCTTTAGTTAAGGAGATGTTTGCCAGATTTCTGCATGGTCAAGTGACTAGTTTCTCAAAATTGGACAATTTAAGAAAATAAAACAAGCTGCATGAAAGAGTTGTAACAGGAGAGTTATGCTGTAGAGTGAAATGAAACGATGCAGGTGCATGATCATTCTGCTATGTCTGTATTGTAGAAAAAGTAAATTTGAACTATTCATCTAGGGGAATAACAGTTTTTTATTTTTTAAAATTTTTATTATTTTTGTTTATTATTATTTTTAAGATCTTATTTATTTATTTGACAGAGGGAGAAAGAGAGCACAAGCGAGTGGCAGGCAGAGGGAGAGGGAGAAGCAAGCTCCCCACAGAGCAGGGGGAGGACAATGTGGGACTCCATTCCAGGACCCTGATATCATGACATGAGCCAAAGGCAGTTGCTTAACCAACTGAGCCGCCCAGGTGCCCTTTTTTTTATTTTTATTTTCAGAGAGAATGAATACATGGGGCAGAGAAAGGGCAGAGGGAAAGTGAGGAAAGAATCAAGCCAGCTCAACGAACCACATAGAGCCCGACGAGAGCCTTGATCTTACCATCCTGAGATCCTGACCTGAGCAGAAACCAAGAGTCCTATGCTTAAACGACTGAGTCACTCAGGTGTCCAAAAACAGCTTTTTTTTTTAATCACTCCTCTCTAGAAATTCTTAACCATCTATCACAGAGCATTTTTATCATAGCATAATGGTTCAAGGCCATTCTCTAGGAGTTTGAGTCCCAGGCTCAACCTCCTGTGATGTAGGGAAAGTTACTTCATCTCTCTTCACCTTAGTTTCTATATTTGTAAACTTAAAGCCCCATAAAGATAACCTTAAAGTCCCATATCTACTTCACAGCGTTATTTGGAAGATTGAATGAGTCAATATTTGTAAAACTCTTAGAAAAGCTCCTGCAGTTTGCACAAAACAAACATGCTATGCCTTGGGGTGGGTACAGGGGCTTAGTAATTTGCTCATGGTATGTGGCAACTAAATAAAGGAAGTGGCCTCTTTCATATTTACTCAAAATCCTGTAAACCCTTCTTTGTTCACCACGATGTTCGTTGACGGAAAAAGCAATTTTTTGGTGATTTTCTTGAAGTTTGTTCTGTAGAACAAACAAGAGGTTATAGAAAAAAAAACTCTTCATGTCTTTCTGATTCTATAAACTTCATAAAATGAACCTGTTTTACAAGTACAAGTAAAAAAAATACATCTTTCAACTTTAAAGAATATTTTTGGGTTTCTGAGCCAGTTTCACATCAAATCCCACAAAACAATTTATAACAAGAGGAGAACCACAGATTTAATTATTCATAAGCTAGTAACATATTGACAACTTTTTTCTCACTTCTTACTGCTTAAGACAAATTTTAATCTTTTAATATTTTAATTTCCCTCATTTTCCCTCTCAGAAGCATACTGATCAAGGCTAGAATGTCTTTGAAGGTAGGCATTCATTTTATGAATCTTTTCCAACCAATGACATGGAGAGTAAGTCAAACTCCTTTTATAGATGAAGTGATTGAAAATAGTGTTGCCTTTGGCTCAGGTCCTGGGATAGAGACCTGCATGGGCTCCCAGATCAGCAGGGAGTCGTCTTCTCCCTCTCTCTCTGCTTCTCCCTCAGGTGGTGCTCCCTCTCTGTCAAATAAATAAATAAAATCTTAGTTTAAAAAAAAAGAAAAGAAAAAGAAAAGAAGACTACAAAATAAATCAGTCATAGATCTCAGCAGTAAAAATTCTTAAAAATCCTGTGTATCTCTTAGTAGAGTACAGATGTGCCTTCTTTTCAGGAATCCTATTAAAGAAAATTTTAACTGTGAAGAGAAAAATTAGGGAGTGAATCTTTCCATTACATTTTTTTTTCCTTTATGGAAGGATTTACAACAGGTTGAGTTTCTGTTTAGGCAATGCTGGGAAAAGCTATCTCACTTAACGAACATTTATAGGGTGCTTAATCTGTGCTGGCTCCCACAAATGTTGACTCATTTCTCATAATTACCTTGGGGTAGACAAAGAAATGTTTAACAACTGCAGGTGATAGGTGGCAACTGGAGGTAAGCAGTTTCGCTGCGCGCCCAGTGGCGGGTTACTATGTGCAGGCTTGTTCCCTAACCCTGGAGCCTGGTTCTTAGAGACCCACACCCCGGCCAGAGGCCATTCCTGTCTGCTCCCGGCGCCCCCCATCCACCCCAAACCCCCGCCACGCTTCCCATCGGATTCCACGCGTCCAAGAATTCTGAGTGTACCCTGGAGAATTATTACACTCCAGACCGCTATACCTCATATTGAATTAGTAAGAGTTCTCTAAAACTTCTGGTGAAAAAATAGTAAAGGTGTCAGGTTCCAAGACTGAAATTCCTAGTCAGAAAAGAGAGACATGTCATCCCTGCTAGAGAAAGGGGGACCAACACCGAAGGTCCCGTAGTACAGGGAAGGGGATTTTGAGCGTGATCTGGCGGTTCGTGCTTGATCCGCACACAGCAGGACCAAGGGTGCTACACAGCAGGCACCCACTCCCTGGGGACTAGGTGCTGTATTGTCCATGGATGGACCAGAAGGGGTGAACTCCGCCAGCCTGCCCGACTAGCCCCTCTACAGCTTTGACGGCCAGTCCCCTATTTCGTAGATCAAATCTGAGCCCTTCTCGCATTTGGAAAAGGAGATCTCCCCGGAACCTGGGGAGTTCCCACATTTCACAGGGAAGAAGGACGCTCAGCAGGATACAGAAAAGAGGTCAGGTCAGTCCTCAACTCTGAAAAAAATCAACACTGGAATCAAGTTTAGACCCTGATCCCTCTTCCCACCGAGTGGAAAACGTGAGCAACATGATCTGAGTGTGGTACAGCAGAGCCGGCTCGGACACCCCGTCTGGGATCTGAGACGGCCGTCACTTCGGGTGCGCGAAATACGCAAAACGACATTGAGAGACAATTCGTAGAGATAAAGGATCGTTAAGCAAATTTGCCCCCTCACTGTCCTTAATTCCCCGGAAACTGGTAACTAAGGAGGTAGAACTCTCGCTCTAACGCAGTGGTGCCGCCCTTGTCCGGGGCGCCGAGATCCTCTCCCGCCCGGCGACCCGGGACCACTGGGCGCCCACGGTGCCCCCTGCCGGCGGGGGCGGCAGCACGACGGCCACTCACGCCCCCTTTGGGGATTCCGGAGGGAGGAGAAGGTCCCCGACTCGCGGGGACACGCGGGAGGCCGGGCAGGCGGGTGGCAGGGCGGGTCCCCCTCCACCCCGGGGCGGGGCCGCGCGCTCCATCCAGACCCCGGAGCGACCTGCGCTGCCGGGAATTTCCCTGGCCCCGGGCTTGCTCACTTCCCCGCGCCGACCGGGGATAAAAGCGCTTCTCCCGACTCCGGGAGCCACAGAGTCCGCTCGGCCAGCGCTCGCTCCCGCTCTGCAGCCGCCCGCACCGCCGCCGCGACTCTCCGAGCTGAGCCCCATGGCCCGCGCCGCCGCCGCCCCCCGCGCTCTCCGGCTCCTCGGCGCCGCGCTGCTGCTGCTGCTGCTGCTCCCCGCCGGCCGCCGCGCCGCAGGTGACACTCGGCGGCCGCAGCCCCGGGGCGGGGCGGGGCGGGGCGGGGGGCGCCCACCCGGGACGGCGCGCTCACCCGGTGCGTTCTCCCCGCAGGGGCGCCCGTGGCCGCCGAGCTGCGCTGCCAGTGCCTGCAGACCGTGCAGGGGATTCACCTCAAGAATATCCAGAACGTCATGGTGACGCCCTCGGGACCCCACTGCGAGCAGACGGAAGTCATGTAGGTGACCCCCCGCCCCGCGGAGCCCCGCTGCCCCCGCCCGGCCGCACCCCCGCTAACGCGGACCCGCCTTCTCTCCGCAGAGCCACTCTCAAGAGCGGGCAGGAGGTTTGTCTCAACCCCGAAGCCCCCCTGGTCAAGAGACTCATCAACAAGATGCTGAACAAGTGAGTTGTGCCTTTTACTCACACGCGGGACGAGACCCATAGGTCCCCACTCCTGGCAAGTGTCCCCGGGAGTTTTTATCAAGGGTTTAGCTGAAGGACTGAAAATCGTTATTATTTCACAATTAAATCTGCTGGTAAGATCATTCATTTGCTCTACTGCCAGAAGGATATTTCCAGTGCCCTCAGTCCCCATGCAGATGAGTGTGGGTAAACCTGCTTTCATTAAATTCTGATTGGTGTTAGTTGTATTAAAAAGTTTCCACCTGTTGAAAAACCCAGGCCTATTCCTCTCCCCCCCCCACCCCACCCCCAATTCCTTCTAGGCTTCACATCTGAAAAGCAGAACTCTTGGTTTTTCTGCACCATAGGCCCTAAAGCTTAAAGATGAAGAGCAGACACTTTGTAGTGACGCCGCACTGGGAACAAATCTGGATTCTACCACCTATTAGCCATGTGACTCAAGGACAATTACTATTATTACGATGATGATGATGATTTAAAGCTTCAGTTAGGCCCCACAGGCCCCCACCTGCGTTCCTAAATAAAAGCATCCAAGAACTTAGAGGTCTCTGCTGCACAGCGTAGGGAATAGCCTTTGGATGCCAGGCTGGGGAGACTAGATTTAGAAAACTCTGGAACCTCAGGGTCAGGACAGGAGAAGAGGGCTGCGCTGGTGGTATCTTCCCTTAGCAGCTACAAAGGATAACATTTCTCTCGTTATTGGGCAGCTCCAACTGACCAGAGGAAGGAGGAAGCTGATTGGTGGCTATACCCGGCTCAGGCCCCGCCCTCACAGGAATCCAAGAGGGAAAGTGGAATCATCCGCTCCCAGTTCCAGCTGAACTGGGCTTAATATGTTTGAGCATCTCCTAGGAGAGTTCTCCTATTTATTTATTTATTGGTTGGTTGGTTTTTAAAGATTTCCATGTTAATATTTTACATATAAAATAATTAGGATGTAATTGAATCTATTTGTGTACTGTACCGCTATTTTTATTTATTTTATGTTAAACCCAATTTAGCTCGACCTTGATTCTTATTTAATTTGAAGGTAAAAGGCTTGCAAATATCCTCCAATCATTAAATTAATACTTCTGATGGGCCCACGGAATGCCAGCCACTGTGACGGAGGCTGGGGAGAGCAAATAGAGGCGAGTTCATTGTCAATTTGGGGAATATATGTGTACATCTACTTTTGTAATTGTTTAAAAGAATGTCAGCTATTATTTATTGAAATAATTTCACAGTATGTGGTCAACATTTCTCATGTTGAAGCTTTAGGAACCACAATGTTCTAAATATCCTTTGGACATTTTATGTCTTTCTTGTAAGGCATAGTGCCTTGTTTAGTCTTAATTATACATTGTTTTTCTATGTCTTCTAACAGAGAAGTTCAAATACTAATTGCTGTTTTTGCAAAAGAACTTGAAAATAAAGTATTTCAAAGTAAAAAAAAAAATGCTTGTTTCATTTAGGGGGAAAAGGCTATCTTTCCTGGATAAGCTAATGATTTACACCAATATTTTTCAACCTTTAAAAAAAATTTTTCCTGGGGCACCTGGGTGGCTCAGTGGGTTAAAGCCTCTGCCTTCGGCTCAGGTGATGATCCCAGAGTCCTGGGATGGAGCCCCCCACATCAGACTCTCTGCTCCACGGGGAGTCTGCTTCCTCCTCTCTCTCTCTCTGCCTGCCTCTCTGCCTACTTGTGATCTCTGTCTGTCAAATAAATAAATAAATCTTAAAAAAATTTTTTTTTCCTCCTGGGCATTCAATATGCTACACAGAGAAACGGAACTATAATTTAGGCTTAACTTTATCCAATGGTAGATATCACTCACCTTGAATTTCACATACACAAGAATGTGCTTTTTCAAAATGTGGGCTTCCCTTTGCCCTTCAGTGTGAGTCACTGATATATATTACCGGCTTTTGTTGTTGTTGTTGTTTAGAGAGACAGTGAGATAGAGAGGGAACACAAGCAAGGGGAGAGGGAGAGGGAGAAGCAGGCTTCCTATGAACAGGGAGCCTGAGGCCATGCTCTCAAAGCTTTATTTGAAGACCCTGGGATCATGACCTGAGCTAAAGGGAGATGCTTATCCACTGAGCCACCCAGGTGCTCCTATTGTTGTTTTTTGTTTTTTTGTTTTTTAATAAGGAGCTCCTTTCTACTCTACTACTTAATCTTCTCTCCTCAAAAGCATTTACATTCTTGTAGCACTCTTAACAAGGACTCTTACTGCTTTTGCTAAATGATTTTTCAAGCAATTATTGACAAGTTAGTGAAACTGGCCGTGAAATGGTGGTAAAGTGGATTTTTTCCTTCAAAACTCAAATAATTTGTGTCACCCATAGAAGCAAAAAGAGTGAATGGTTGAGTACTTCACCTATGAAAAGATCTAACTGACTTTGGGGTTCAATTTTCTAACCTTCATTTATAAGTAACACCACTGAGTTTAATGTTATTCCAATGCTTTATACCAATTTGCCAAATAGAACAGTTTTGAGATTTGAGTGCCTTAGTTCCCATCCTTCTTAGTGCAATTTTTACAGAACGTAATAGATTGTCCAGCCTAAGAAAGTCCTTTGGTCTTGGTATTCAAAACTGCCCCTGGAAGATACCAACACTCTGGTATTCCAAGACAGAAACAAAATTTATATGTAAAGAGAGGAATGATCCCTATAATCTGAAACCACACTCCAGACCTGAAGAGGAAGAATATTTGTGGATGTGCAGAGTGTGCTTGTCCCTGAGTGGAGACTTATTCAGGAAATGCTGAGCCTTACTTCAGCAGAGGCAAGAAAACAGGGCTGGTCCCCTCAACACCTGAGATCAGGTTCTAGTTTGCCAAGCAGCTGGGTAAATAAGGACTACAAGTAGCAAGAAACAGTGAGCTTTTTTTCATGAAGTTAAAAATGGTCACCTCTTTATAACTCCAATGGTATCGATGAGATCAGAAGGAAGAAAATTTGTGAATGGCGCAGAAGTAAATAAATGTCAGCCATTCTAGAAGCTCCACCAATGCTACCCTTCCCTAAGCCCAAGTGAAGGGACGTCGGAAATTATTTATAAAGGGAACCCTGAAGGCTTCAATAAAGCCCTCACACCTCACACCTCACACACATATAAGACCAGCCCTTATATTCAAACATTGGCTTGAGCTTGTCATACTGGCCACTGAGCTCTTTCTTGTCAATAAGGAACATGCAGCATAGAAAGGAGAAAAGAGATATTCTCTTCCTATGGTGGTTAAAGACATAGTTTTCAAAGAATCAGACTTTGGATAAATTCCAGCTCTATTGCTTGACCATGTGTTCTTGGGTACATTTCTTGACTTTACCCAGCCTTGTTACCCCTATAATAGAATGGAGATAATAACATAATACACTTTCTGAAGTTTTTTCAGGGATTAAACATGATCAGTGGCTCCAGAAATCTGCCATTGTTCTTCAGGCCAATTCCATGAACATCACCTTAGTGTCTGTCCTGGATCCTGTCTTGTCCTGGATCAAGTGGATATGCTCTATACTTTTCACACCATAATGCCTTGAGACTTTGCCAGTACAAGCAGTCTCCCACTGAGAGTGTTAGGGCAGGAAATGGGACACAAGGGTATGTGAGGTGGTGGTCATGAAGTGAAGTAGGGAAAGGATATGGGGTGATACAGCACAGCTTCCAAAGGTCATCAGCAGAAAATAGCAGTGGCGACATGGACTGAAGTTTCTTGAACAATGTTGCCAAAGGCGCTAAACCCAGAAAGGAGGAAATATGGCTGATCCTAAAATGTCATTATGAGTCCTTTTGAATGCTATTGAGACATCCTCTCAGGACTTCCAGACATGACTGGAAAGACATTGGGGGATGGCGACGTAGCAAACCTCAATAGTATTATGGACAATCCAGAATAACAGGTGATACCGTTTCTCTTTCTTTTTCTGACTACCCACGCAAATAGGGAGAGGAAGATCTTATCCTACCTTCACCATTGATGCCCCACTCCATATTTCCTTCACTTACCGATGACTTCCACAGTCGCAATGGGCAGCATCTGTACTTACTGACAGTTTCCCAACTCAAGCTCCCCTATCCTTCTGATCCCCTTCCTGAGGGTTCTCTCCATTTGGGTTTGGGGAGGCAGGAATGAGAGAGAGAAAGTTTGCTTAGCTCAGAGACAAGATGGCCTCTGATTTTTTATTTTATTTTATTTTATTTTAGGATGGCCTTTGATTTACTGCCTTCAGAGTCCAGTCTCATTGAGGGGCAGGAGTTAGTGGATCAATATTCTACTCTCCAGTCCCTTGACTGGACAATTCCAGAAGTTACACTGTAAGTGTGTGTGTATGCATGCATGTGTGTGTGTGTGTGTGTGTTTCATGAGGATTCCTTTCCACCTGGCTACTCAACTTTATCTCCTCAAAAACATTTACATTCTTATAGCTACCTTAACAAGGACTCTCATTTCATTGCTTTGCTAAATAATTTATTTATAAATATATTTATTTTATACATGCTTTCCACCTCTCTCTTCATTATGTTCACATTTTCTCCTAAATCCTTCTTTCTCTTAAATCCTTAAATCCTTTTCTTAAATCCTTGAGCATATTGGGTGCCGGGGTGACTCAGTTGGTTAAGCATCCAACTCTTGATTTCAATCTCAAGGTCATGGGATTCAGTCCCTGTTGGGCTCTGCACTCAGTGAAGAGTCCGTTTGAGATTCTCTCTCGCTTTCCTGACCCCCACCAAACTCTCTTTCTCTCTTTCTATAAAAATAAATAGATAAATCTTTAAAAAATTATCCTTGAGTATGTTTATAATGGCTAGTTTAAAATCCTTGTCTACTAATTCTATCAATCTGTCATTTTTATTTCTATTGACTGAACTCCATCCCCCCCATCCCGTTACAGATCATGGTTTTCAACCTGGCATGTGTAGCGTTTTTTATTGGATTCAGGAAATTTTGAATCTTATGTTGTTGCATGTCAAGATTTTTTTTTTTTTTCTTTAGAGACTTGGCCTCTGTTGTGGCAGGCTGTTAAGTTACCAGAGAATCAGCTTGATCCTTTGTAGGCTTGTTTGGAAGCTTGTTGAGGATGATCTAGAGAGAGTTCTTTGCCCCAAACTTTGTTTAGCTGTACTACAAAATCATGCCCCTTCTGTGTCTCTGCTGAATGCCCTGAGTACTTACAACATTCCTCCACTCTAACAAGTCCAACCTCAAATATCTCCCCATTCCATGCGGTCAAAGAGTGGCTCAGCTCACAGATTTCTGGCCACTCTCTGCCTGACCATATACATGAGACTTAGTGTTGATCAGAGAGACCCAGTGGAACCTCAGTGCAGATTTCCAGAGCTCTAGTTTCCTCCATGGATCTCTCCTTTCTACAACCCTACTCCATAACTTGTAGTCATCTCAGTTTCCCTGATTCAAATCTCTGTCTCCTCAACTCAGCAAAGAATTGCTGAGTTCTGCTTGGGATCTCCCTCCCTGCGCAATTTGCTCCAGCAAAAAAAACCAGGGGGATCATGAACCTGATCTCTTTTGTTTCCCTTTCTCAGGAATCCTAGTCTTCTGCTGCTTGTTATTCCAATGTCTAAAAGCCATTGTTCAGTGTCTTCTATCGAGTTTTCTAGTTGTTTATGGCAGGAGGTGAGGACTGTTCCCTTTGATTCTAATATGGCTGGAAATGAAAGTCTCAGTGAGACAATTCTGAGGAACATTTTACAAGATTTCTCAGAGTTCTATAGCAAGATTAATCTCTAGTTACTTATAGTGGTAGCACATTTATTACCTAGATTTTATTAGTGTTTTTCTCTTCCCTACCCCACATTCCCTCATTCCCTCACTCGCTCTTCTATGATTCTTCCCAAGCTAAACTACGACACACAAGTCTCAGTATCAGTATCTGCTTTCAGGGGAACTTGGTCACTTGGATTCCCCAGAAGTTCGATCTCAGTGCTAGGACTTGTGTACAACTATTTTATTAGGGAGTATAATACCAGAGGATCAGGAAAGAGGAAATGTGAAGTGGGGCAAGGAAAATGTCAAAACCTGGAAGTTGGATCCATAAGGCCCTAAAATGGATCTGTGGAGAAAACAGTCTACCAAACCCACATTCAGGGCCTTATTTTCCCCTGCGAA